AAAGGCAAAATAAAAGGGCAAAATAACTAAAATGCAATTAAAATATATATTCTAAAAATTGCCATCAGACCTACAGCTGATATTATTTCAGTTAAAATGTTATACGTAATGTTATAATGTTACCCATTATCAGTACGGGAAGGAGGAATAAAACAACAGCAAAACATTGTTAACAAATTCTGTAACAGTGACAGAAGAGCAAAAATAAATCAAACACTGGTATCGATTACAAAAAGGATAGGCTGTCTCTTCCAAATATGAAATCTTACTACTGTATTTACCAAATCTTTTAAGATTTATTCCAGATATATATTATATCTTCCCCAGATATTTTCATTTGGTTTAGCTTGGAAATACATGATCTAAAGCAGGGGTCCCCAACCCCTGGGATCTCCCCACCGCACATACGGATTTTTTTTTTAAAAAAAAAATCAATTATCTGGGAGAATAAAATTTTTATAAATTGATTTGGAGATTGCATAATCTTTAATTTCACAAGCATCAAATGCTATCAAAATACAAATTATGTTGGAGATGTGGACAGTATACTTCTTTCCATACGTAGTGGGAGTGTAATGTATGTGCCATTAGTTATGGTAACCCTAAAGAGACTTTTGAGGTATGCGTTGTTGAAAGATTGGTTTACTCCTGCCAATGTGTTCCCACAGCTGAACAGGGACTTGAATCCATGTCTCTCAAGCTCCATTCCAACCCTCTACCCTAAGCTACAAAAATTCATTTTATGGTATTCCCAGTTGCTGTGTACAAATGTGAAAGTGGAAAACAAGGAAAGCAAATGGAGAAGGAATTATTCCTCCCATGTCCTGGGAGAAGCCAGAAATAAACTAATGGAGATTTTCTCCTTATTGAGAACTAAGATGGGGGGGGAGAGAGAGAGAGAGAAGAGAGGAGGCTGATCCTTTTACAATTAAATTAATCTGTGAATGGAAGGGACCTTTATCATAACAATAGTTCTGTTTGTATTCTGTTAAAATAGAAACTCCCACCCACCAAGAAATAGCTTTCTGTTCCACCAAAGCTTTAGATTCTCCCAACCCAGACCTTTCCCAAGGATGCCCAACACAAAATGGCTTCTCGCCCAGCTCCTTCTACTGTATTTATAGCAATCCTTCTCTCCCTCGCCTGGCCCTTGGGTGTTTAGTAACAGCTGTTTCTCTGTAGTTTGAGGAAAGGAGGGGGGGAGAAAGGAAAAAGGCGGGCATCTCTCTCTGTAGAGGCACGTTTGCCTCAGACTACGATTCCCCCAATTCCTCAGGCACCATGGCTTGTCCTCTGTGGTTATGGTGGCTGAGGGAAGTCTGGGAGTTGTAGTCCAAGAATGTTATCTCCAACCCTCTCCTTAAATCCAAGTAAAACAGGGTGGTTCAATTTAAAAAAAGCTGAGGGAAGTGTTAAAAATGCTAACTACAGCATGCAATCTAACATATACATGACTGTGTCCAGAACTAATTTCTACAATTTTATTTTTAAAGGATGTCATTCTCTCCCTCCCACTACTGTATTAATATGTATATACAGTATTTAAGGAACAAGGTGGCAGGCAAATAATAAATAAATAAGGCAAGTGTCAATTAGGAGGCAATAGAATGGGGGGTCCACTTTTTAAAGCTATATATTACATTTTTCTCTTTACATTTATCTATTATATTTTTAGCCTACTGTCTTTCCATTAAAAAAAGAAGAAGCAGTGTTTAAGGCAGCTCATGAACACCATTAATGCAAACTTTAAAATTATACTGAGCAGAAGCCTGTTGGGGAATCCTGTTAGCCTTGATTGCATTCATTGCAAATTGGAGCTAATTAACACGTTCCTGCTTGCATCACTGGAGTGGTGCCCCTAAGAAAGGGAGGGAAAACTGATCCATTTAAGAGGACGGTGTTTCCTGCTGCTCTTGGGTCATTAAACTTCAAAACAGGGTTAAAAGGCCAGACTGAGAAGCTGTGGCATCTCATCCCTTCTCCAAAGAAGGGAATAAATTATGTCCCTTTCCATAAAATAGCTTTTTAAGCCTAGGGGCAGCGAACGTGAGGAAGAGAGCTCCCCCAAAATGGCGCCTGAAGGGAACCAGAGAGGCAGCCCGTTACCCCTCCCCCAAGCTCCCTGAGGCAATTTAAGACTTCTGTAGCCTGAGAGAAGATTCAAACAAATAAAGCATGGGCAGCTTTATTTATTCAATTTTTTTAAACAAAATCTCGAAATGGACAGCTAAACAGCAGTAAATAAATGAAATAAATAAATAAATACCAAACATGGAACGTATTGCTTCGAATGTGCTTTTTGGGTAGCTTTGGTTTACTCGTGTGTGTCAAAAAGCAGTATATAAATATACATCATTTCCATAATTCCTGGGGTTCCATAATTCCCCCTCTTCCCCGCTAAATCTGCTGGATAGCTCAGTGGTTTATGTCTCTGGCTGCAGAGAAGACTGACACCAAGGAACATGATGAGTTTCTTGCCTTAAACCAGGTTTACCAAGTGCCATGGCCAAGACTCTAACTGTTACACAACACTGCCTTTGCATTACTCAGCTTTCTATTGCTTCCAGTTCTCAGTTACCTCAGTTTGCCTGAAATATACCATAAAAAGCAATTCTTATGGACAATCTGGTGATTTGCACTTTTATTTCATTTGTCTCTCTCTCTCTCTCACACACACACACACACACACACACACACACACCAAATTATTTCATCTGTTCTTGCATTGTGGACCAAAACTGCCATGAGGGAAAACCTTCAAGCCACAGCAGGTGGACTCATTGCTACAGAAATGGTGGCTGGTTCAACAACTGATTTGCCTTTAGAGTAAGCAAGCATTAATTGGGAGAAAATCCCAAAGATAATTATTTAGATGGGTCCCTTTTCTATTTAGATCAAAAGGTGTCCAACAGTGTTAATGGTGCATGTGCAATACCATATGCATTGCCACAGTTCATCTTTGATTATTACCAACTGTTTCTTTACAAGTTTGGCTTGCACAATTTTATTTTCCTCCTTTATTTGCTTGCTGCGTGTCTGCACCTCTCACTGACAAAGAGATCTTGACACAGGCCCTGATCTTAATTCTTTGCTGGCTATGATACCACTAGCAATAGCCCCCTGGCTCCGTGTTTTATTGCCTGGCCACCCATCCAGACATTCAGGGGAAGCTGCAGAAAAAGATTGATGAGGCACTTCCCAAACAGATAAGTATCTCTACTGCATTCACCAAGGCTTATGTTAATTGAGAATGGACTGGCTATTCTGCACCATATACAAGAGGATATAAAGGAAAATATTTAATCCTGGTAGTTTAGTGAGATAAACTTGAAAGGATGATAATGTGTGCCTAGGGGGCTTAAACTGCAGAAGGAGAATAGAAAAAGAAATGAGAGGTTGAAGCTATCTAGTGAACTTTACTGACACATATTTAAGAGACTGCTTTATACCCTAGCCGGTGAATAGAATTACATACTGTAGTGTTACTTCATAAAATGGATGGCATTAGCACAGCCACCTTGAATCATATTAGACTAGCAAGGTTGCCACACCTGAGGAAATGTGAATGAAATCAATACACTTTGGTCATGAAAGCCCATAGCTAAACTGGGAATTAATCAATAAACCGGTGGACAGAAGGATAGAGACTTTAGAACTGAATAACTGGTGCTAGGCTTATTCAACAGGAATCTGGGTGAGTTTTAATAAATGTGTTTTTGTCTCTAAATACCCCTAAAGAACCAGTGGAGTGTAATGATAGAGTGTCACACTAAGATTGGGAAGATCTGGCTCAAATGCCTGTTCAGCCATGGACATGGGGCGGAGGGGACAGGAGGCTGGTAAAATCACTCCTTAAATGCCATACATCCATCCCAATGCACCTATATCCCAGGATTGTTGTGAAGTTAAAAAGTGAACTTGAGACCCTGCTAGGAGCACCTTCTTTTCAGTAAATACAAGAAGATACAGAAACATGCTTACTAAGAAAATCTAACTCGTACCAGTGAGGCTTACTCCCTTGTAAATGCATGGACCAGATAGGCGGGGTATAAATCAAATAAATAAATAAATAAACACAGCATTGCTAAAATTCTTGAGTGAATCTCTAAAGGACTTTGTTCATACAACCAAATATAAGCAGACCCATGGACATTCAGAATGCTGCTCTAAAAGAAATGAGGCTTTATTTTACTTCCTGAGGAAAGAATAGAATTGAACTCTTTGTCTTAAAGGTAACTCTGTCCTAGACAATTAAAGTTTCTGCTGTTTGGCCTGAATAGAAGAGTAATTAGTCCAAATCACTATCTAATTAATCCAAATCACTATCTATCTTCTGCTGCTTTCTAACTCCTGTCATTTTCCTTCTCTCGCTAACTGTTAACTGTCATTTTTCCCCTCAACTGTCTCTTTTGACCCCACCCCTCCTGCCCTATCATTGGCTCCTCCCTTTGGAGCTTTCATGATGGACAGACAGGAGTGATGTCATGTATTGGCATTTCGCCACAGTGTGGTACAAGGAATTAAAGGCAACATTTCCTTACCATGCAAGTGGGCACTTATGTTTAAGTGTATTTATTTATCCCTTATGTTTCCTTTCCACGATGTACAAGCTGTTGCTTCAGTTTCTATTCAGATCAAGCAGGAGTACTAGATCAATTACATCCCTGCTTTTCGACCAAGACCAGTTTCCAAAGCAGCTTACCATTAAAACCTGAAATCAGTGATACATGAATGTGTGTATCTGGTGTGTGCACGCAAGTTGCTCCTGATAGGGGGCCATCATTGAATCCTCATGTAACACACGCAGAGCACCATTCTTTATGCATATGATTCAGACACGTTAAAGTTCTTAGGTTTCACATGCTATGACATGGATGTTTTGGCAGGCCTTCCCAACACATAATTCCTGACCCTCTTCTTCCCTACTTTACTGTTTTTGCCCGTTGTATCGTGTACCCCATGTAGAGCTTTTAGCTTTTAGAGTTGTCTATTTTTATTTTATTGTATTTTGTATGAAGCCGCCTAGAGTGGTCCTCACCCGGCCCGATAGGCGGGATATAAATCAAATAAATAAATAAATATTATATCACCATATTGCTATTGTATCACTAATATTGCTTTCTGTAATACTTGAACTTTATTTATTCATATATATATCAATATTGGCCTCTCAAAATGTGCTTCATATCTTATACCTGTACTTTGTATAATTTTATGTGAATGTTATAACTGCTTTCTGCATCTTGGAATCCTTGGACCTTAATCAGTTCTCCTGACCTTTGTGCCAGCAAACTCTCACATTGCATTGCAAACTCTCAACATTGCATTTCTGCATATCGAAGCATAGTAGATACAATGGCGCTTTCTCCTGCGCTTCGCCGTCTGTTCCTCAGCAGCCAGCTTGTTCTTCTCCAGCTTCTTCTGGTACTCCTCATCCAGCTTTTGCTTCTCAGCCATGGCATCCATAAAATCTTGCTGTTGGTACTCCCGCCGCCGAAGATGCCGGTAGATGTGGAATTCTCCACTACCGGCACCAGCGCTGGAACCCATTAGATCTCTGACAAATTCTGGAGGTGGACAGGGCACCCATTCATTGAGCTTTTCAGGAATTGGAACCTTCTTATCCGGGTTCCTCATGAGCCTCTCTAGCTTGAGGTGCTGCTCTTCCACAGCGTTGCGCAGGATGACCAGCAGCTGCGGCTCCTTCCGGGACCGAGAGGGCCCCGTCGTTCCGGCCACCATCCTGGAGGACCACTTCCGCTCGCGGTTCCCCCCTCCCTCGCCTCCCAAACACCGGCCGGTGGACCGACCCACCGGCTGCCCCCATGCAGTTCCCTTCCCCGGCGCCAAAGGCCGCTGCCCCGACCAATCCAGATTTCCCTTCAGCTATTTCAAAGGGTGGAGTGGGGGACATGAAAGGCAGTGATGTGTTAAAACTACATCTGCCTCGAGCCTCCTATTCCAGATTATAAAATGCAACACATCAGAAATAAGGAAGCAAACAGAAATAATGTTTGACTTCTTTTTATTTTCTAGCAGACATTGTATATAAAGTTCCCCTTTTAAATTAGTCATTTATATGTCCTGCAGTAAACTATTTTAAGGAGCAGCTTTGGTAAAAGGAATGGAATGAAACAATGAATAGCAATAAAAAAAACACACAACCAAATATATACCATAATCACAGCTGATTTGCAAACCAACACATTTCACCAAAAGGAAGGTGGGTGAAAAGGAAGGGAAAAATCCATCATGTCATCATTTTCTCAGTGCTTCAAGAAGTGACCATCTTCAACCATCCTTGTTCAAGTCTTGTGCAGGCACCAGAGCGAGTTGTCTTGCTAGAGGACACAGAGCCGGCTTTACATGATCCGCAGGCCTTGAATGGAGGACTCCAAGGTCTTTGAGGGGAAGAAAAAGACACACACACATTAACTATTCCAGCTAAGGAAAAACTGTAGTTCCAGGAGAATGCAGAACATTATATTCAGCACAATATTCACACAGGAACCTGCATCATCATCATTATCAAGGGACCCTATGGATCATGAAGTCCAGTCCCTGTCAAGGAGGAACAGTGGGACGTTCATTAAGAGAATGAGAGAAAGTCTCATTGTTCTTGGTAAGCGAACATGCCTGAAAACATGAGAGTGATACCGGCTGAGATGCCAAAAGCTGCAGGCCGGGAGAGATTTCTTAGAAGATTTTTTTAAAGGACTGTTAACAGCAGTGGGGATTCAGTGATTTCTTTGTGTCTGCATTTCCCCAAGTTTGGGCTAAGTATGCACAAAAATCAAAATTATGCAAAATATGGAAAGTTATATTATCTGCATCTTTGACTTAAGTGGCAGAGTTCAGCGTTCCTTGGCATAGACACTCTCTCTCTCTCTCACACACACACACACACACACACACAAGTGACCAAGAGCTGGAAACAAAGAAGATTTCTACAAAAAACCCACAGGTGTGTTCCCATTAACAACATCTGGAAAGTAAGCAGTGTTGAAAGAAGGCCTCTGACATTTGGCAATGCAATTGACAGGCATCTTATACTAATACAATAAACTGTGAAGATTATCTGCATTGCTGACGTGGGGCCTCTGGGAGAGCTTACCTTGAAGTCCCAGATGGTCATGGCTCCATCAATGCCAGTGGTGCAGAATTTGCGACAGTCCCGTTTGTCCACCTCATAAATAGACACTTGGCTGCCAAGAGAAATAAAAAAGCCTTTAAGACTTGGAGAAAGCAGGGTAGGAGACTTATTCCCATGTACTTTTAT